AGTGTCTGAAGTAGTTCTAAAAAAAAAAATCACCTGATTAATAAAAAGCACTCCCTCCAGATAAAAAAAAATATATATCTCTATGTTTTCAGGGTTTTTGTTTTTGTGTTTTTTTCGTGTCTCTTCTCAAAAAAAATATATATATGTAAAAGCTTTCAGCAACATATTTGTTCTCACATGTGAAGAGATGCTGCTTCTGCGGCTGCTGCAAGCCGAGTCCAGCGGCTCCAGCTTCAGGATGACTTCCTCCAGCTGGTGGATCAGCTCTGCCTGCGAGCTGGAACTGAGCTGAGACTTCAGCTGTTCAAGGCGATCCATGGGAACGCACTTCCTGGCCTGAAATGGAGAAGAGCTTTAAAAATCACACCTGCATGCTAGTTTCTGTCTTTAGCTAAAGGAGGCCGCTTCTATTTGATGTCGTTGTAGTTTTCACCACTGGAGGCTGGTGGGGTTTCCTCCAGGAGGCGCTATAGCTTCAGAATAGACGTATACTAAGGTATCACACCTGTATATATAATGGTGGAGCTATTTATTCTTTATTTCTTTATCCATTTGAAGTTTGTTAGTAAAATCATAAATTCATATTTTTGTATTATTTACAGAGTTTATTTGCAGGTTAATAATTGTTGTTTTATTATGTTCTCTTATTTATTTATTTTTTGTTCTGAGGTCAGACAGGAAGTGATGTGGATCAGTCCACTTTCTATAAATGTAGGGGCCTGGGAAGGGACCAGCAGGCATGTTGGGTTTGGGGTTTTGGTTTTTACCAGAGCAAGAGAGGAAGCAGAAAGAACAAAGGAAAATTTGAACTCTGTAATCTGTGGCTGAAGTAGGAAAATAAGTCATCCAGAACAATCAACAGGTTTGGACATTGAACCTTCTTTTGCCTGCATACAGAAACCTGAGCCCAGCGCCTTCTAGTGGCTAAATGGAACCTTTTTTGATGTTTGTCTTGGCAAACAATCACCACTACAATTTATACCAATTACAACAACAAAAAACAACAAAATGTTCTGCAATCAGTCCTAGCTGTCTTTATCCATGCTGGGTCTGATCCGGACATTTGAAAAAGGAGGCAGGGAAAGCAGAAATAAAGCCTTAGCCTCGCTGCACGCAGTTAGCCTCGCTGAGGGCATTTAGCCTCGCTGCACACAGTTAGCCTCGCTGAGGGCATTTAGCCTCGCTGAGGGCAGTTAGCCTCGCTGAGGGCAGTTAGCCTCGCTGCGGGCAGTTAGCCTCCCTGCTGGCAGTTAGCCTCGCTGCTGGCAGTTAGCCTCGCTGCTGGCAGTTAGCCTCGCTGCTGGCAGTTAGCCTCGCTGCTGGCAGTTAGCCTCGCTGCACGCAGTTAGCCTCGCTGCACGCAGTTAGCCTCGCTGCACGCAGTTAGCCTCGCTGCACGCAGTTAGCCTAGCCTTGGAGCTAAATTATTCTATAATCCTGTCAATCAGGGCATCCACTGTATGACGAAACCACAGGGTTT